CACAAAAAAACACTCGTATATACTGAGCTCGTAAAGGTACCTCACAATTACAAAGTCTTTCTACAACTACCGAAATGGTGTCTGATGATCTTTTATGATGTAATACTGATTAGTTCGTTGTACAATTAAAACGCAAACATTTGAATTTTAACAACTTGAAAATTCTTGAGCAAGGATTTAACATAATTTTGGGGATAAAAAAGAATTGACCTTGTTCTCATTAGGGCATGTCAATAAATATGTTCTTAGAGAAGCAACCAATGCGTGAAGGATGTTGCCTCGACCAGTAAAACTGGTGAGATTTCGAAGGTTGGAAGTGTTTCAACACCTCTCAAACCTTATGTAGATACCATTTTACATAGTTTGACGGGCAGTTTGTACAGGATCCGAGTACTTATTCACCACATCAAGCTAATCCGCTTGCTGTCACGTAATTTTCTGAATATATTTCATTTATACTGCTTTTTCTATTAATCGCGAGAGGGCCTGCCAACCAAAAAAGATGTTGAGTCAAAAACCAAATTTTTTTTTATCTTGGGTCATAAAAAAATTTCTCTTGCCCTTGCACTCGCGTATTAGACCTAAAAGCACATGTAGTGCTTTTAGGTCATCTGTAATGGAGACTTCTTTGGCTTTACAAAAGAAGTCTCCCATTACAGATGACCCATAAGCACTACATGCGCGGGGCGCGGGCGAAAAAGCCGAATACGCGAGTGCAAGGGCAAGAGAAATTTTTTTCTGGTGGCCCTGCAGGTGGGCAAAACACGTGGGTTGGTTTTTTTCGTTGCTTGATGGATTCGCATTGCCTCGCTGCGCTTGACGAGATACGTATAAACAATAAATCATCTAGGAGGGATAAACGCAAAGCGCGAACAGATGTTGTGGGGCTTCCACGCCTCTCCCTGCATAACCCGGAGACAAAACAAATTGGCCACACAAAAGAAGGAGAAATGGTTAAAGTTTGGCGCGTAGTAGCGAGCAAAATTTGACCATGGCTTAGTGTTGGTTAAAGGGCTAGTTGCCTTTTATAAACTTGTATAATCAATGCGTAAAAAATGGTCAACTCTATTATACATGCGAGGATACTTATGGGAATACATAAGTAAATTAGACTGGCTTCATCACCACTTTTCTTTATTTGTAATGCAGTGGAAAAGGAACATCCAACTCCGGCCGGTGATACCGGTATTTCAGTACTTGCCACTTTCAAAATTCGACAAACAACCACATTGTTCCGTGTATACTCGTCGCAACTCGACCACAACAATGCACTTATTACCTCCTCTATTGAGAAGGGAATAAGTACAAGTCGAGAACACATTCTCTAACATCAAACCGTAGCCCGAGCCATTGTGCGAGTCATTACTCTACAGTTATTGCATGTTATTCTTAAGTAGCTACATTAACACAATTATATTCAACATAGACGGTCAAACCCTATTTATATACACCGCCGATGTAATTCTTATAAACAACAAACAAGGAGGATCTTTCGTAGGTTATATCCATGACCAGGTGGAAAATCAATTGTCTTTTGGAGTGAATACAAATAGGTCATACTTTTCCCCCAAGAAGATTTAGCACTAATGTAGAAATAATGGCCATGGAGGGAAATGCAATAAGGATAGTACCCTGTTTTAGAGAAAAAATAGCGTTTACTAGGTAATATTCCCCTATGGTAGATAAACAATGCAAACATGAACTATGAACCTATTAAAATAAATAGGTAAACAAGCGATAATTTGACACCAGATATTCAGAGGTGTAAAAAAAGCTGCTGTGAAAAGCGAAAAAACTATAAAAAAATGACGATTTTTTATAAAGGTTTTCATTCCTTTTGATTCTAGCAAACAGATCACAAGTACAGGTACTTGAGAGCATATTGATGAAATAAATAAAATACGAACAGTTAACATAATATAGTCAAAAATCTTAGGTTGTAACTTTATTATAAGTAAATTAGTTGATGTTGTACTTAATTTGTATAAAAAGTGCCAAACATTGGGAACTATCCAAACAAAAGTGACAAAAAAAACAAAAAGAAGCAAAAACCACGTTTAAGAACGCTTGCTGAATGATTTTGTCTCGGGGGTTACAAACTGTTAGGGGACGCGTCTCCCCGGGTTTGTTGGATTTTGGAACAACAAACCCAACAAACCCAACGTTTTCCCCGGGGAGACGCGTCTTGGAACCACTTGGTGTCAATACCATCTACGGTTTCGGGAGTTGTCCCGGGGGTTAATTTTGGGCTTTATTGATGGATATTACTAATTTGAAACCATTAGTAGAATTGAACCTTTTTAAACAAATTTTCATGTAGTTTCAAATTTTTTAAACATATTTTTCAAGATTTTTAGAACTAAAACGGTTTGATGATGCATCATTATGAGATATTAAATTACTAAAATAAAGTATAAAATAACAATTTTTACTGAAAAAATAGAAAATGATGCATTGGATATGAAGTATTAAAGTACGATAATACAATATGAAATAAGAATTTTTATTGAAAAAAATGGAAAAAAATTGTCTTGGAACCACTTGGTGTCGATACCATCTAGAGTTTCGGGAGTTGTCCCGGGGGTTAATTTTGGGCTTTATTGATGGATATTACTAATTTAGTAAATTTGAAACCATAAGTAGAATTGGATCTTTTTAAACAAATTTTCATGTAGTTTCAAAATTTTGAAAAATATTTTTCAAGATTTTTAGAACGAAAACGGTTTGATAATGCATCATTATAAGATATTAAATTACGATAATAAAGTATAAGATAACAATTTTTATTGAAAAAAATAGAAAATGATGCATTGTATATGAAGTATTAAAGTACGATAATACAATATGAAATAAGAATTTTTATTGAAAAAAATGGAAAAAAAGTGTCTTAGAACCACTTGGTGTCGATACCATCTAGAGTTTCGGGAGTTGTCCCTGGAGTTAATTTTGGGCTTTATTGATGTGTATTACTAATTTAGTAAATTTGAAACCATTAGTAGAATTGGATCTTTTTAAACAAATTTTCATGTAGTTTCAAAATTTTGAAACGCATTTTTCAAGATTTTTAGAACTAAAACGGTTTGATGATGCATCATATATGAGATATTAAATTACGATAATAAAGTATAAAATAACAATTTTTATTGAAAAAATAGAAAATGATGCATCGTATATGAAGTATTAAAGTACGATAATACAATATGAAATAAGAATTTTTTTCCAAGATTTTTAGAACTAAAACGGTTTGATGATGCATCATATACGAGATATTAAATTACGATAATAAAGTATAAAATAACAATTTTTATTGAAAAAATAGAAAATGATGCATCGTATATGAAGTATTAAAGTACGATAATACAATATGAAATAAGAATTTTTATTGAAAAAATGAATAATAAAGTATAAAATAACAATTTTTATTGAAAAAATAGAAAATGATGCATTGTATATGAAGTATTAAAGTACGATAATACAATATGAAATAAGAATTTTTATTGAAAAAAATGAATAATAAAATATAAAATAACAATTTTTATTGAAAAAAATAGAAAATGATGCATTGTATATGAAGTATTAAAGTACGGTAATACAATATGAAATAAGAATTTTTATTGAAAAAAATGGAGAAAAAAGAAAAATTGGGTAGATGGCTAAGCGTCTACTACAATTAGCCGTCTACAGACAGGAAATAATACCTTCGCCTTCCGCGATGGGCTTAGCGTAACGGCTCGTAATATATGATTCCCTCCACCCGAAGACACTAAGTTCTATTTCGACAGACAGGAAACAATATCTTCGCCTGGCAGACAGGAAACAATATCTTTGCCTTTCGCGATGGGCTTAGCGTAATGGCTCGGTCTACGACAGACAGGAAATAATACCTTCGCATTCTGCTATGGGCTTAGCGTAATGGCTCGGTCTACGATGGACAGACAGGAAACAATACCTTTGTCTTCCGCGATGGTCTACGACGGACAAACAGGAAACAATACCTTCGCCTTCCGCGATGGGCTTAGCGTAATGGCTCGATCTACGACGGACAGACAGGAAATCCACCAATACCTTCGCCTTCCGCAATGGGCTTAGCTTAATGGCTCGGTCTACGACGGACAGATAGGAAACAATACCTTCGCCTTCCGTAATGGCTCGTAATATATGATCCGTGTTGTGCTTAGCGTAATGGCTCGTAATGTATGATCCCCTCCACCCAGTTCTATTTGGACAGACAGAAAACAATACCTTCGCCCTCCGCACGAAGACTCTAAGTTCTATTTGGACAGACAGGAAATTATGCATAATATATGATCCGCGCTGTGCTTAGCGTAATGGCTCGTAATGTATGATCCCCTCCACCCAATTCTATTTGGACAGGCAAGAAACAATACCTTCGCCTTCCGTAATGACTCGTAATATATGATCCGCGCTGTGTTTAGCGTAAATGGCTCGTAATGTATGATCTCCTCCACCTCGTGATATATGATCCGCGCAATACCTTCGCCTTCCGTAATGGCTCGTAATATATGATCCGCGCTGGCTCGTAATGTATGATCTCCTCCACCCAGTTCTATTTGGACAGACATGAAACAATACCTTCGCCCTCCTATTTGGACAGACAGGAAACAATATCTTCGCCTTCCGTAATGGCTCGTAATATATGATCCGCGCTGTGCTTAGCGTAATGGCTCGTAATGTATGATCTCCTCCACCCAGTTCTATTTGGACAGACAGGAAACAATACCTTGGCCCTCCACCCGAAGACACTAGCGTAATGGCTCGTAATGTATGATCCCCTCCACCCTGTTCTATTTGGACAGACAGGAAATTCCGTGTTGTGCTTAGCGTAATGGCTCGTAATATATGATCCGCGTTGTGTTTAGCGTAATGGCTTGTAATGTATGATCTCCTCCACCCGAAGACACTAATGATCCCCTCAACCCGAAGACACTAAGTTCTATTTGGACGCGTATACAAACTGCCAGAATTACTAAATCCAAAATTTGGGTACAGTAGGACTTGAACCTGTGACCTTTAAGTTAAAAGCGTACTGCTCTATCAACTGAGCTATACAACCGGAGATTCTTGGTTACGACAATTTCAATTCTTTAATTAAACAACAAATTCATGAAAAACAACTCTGACCTATAATGCGAGCCATGAACAGAGTGTATAGCAATTTATCCACGGCGTTGCAAAAAATAAAACAATATATCTATTGTTTTATTTTTTGCATTTTGACCTTCCCAAACGAGAGATCATGGGGTTGGTGGCCCATCTCCTACCACTAAAACAATTAACTTTTCATTTAAAATGGAATTTTGCTGGAAGAAATTCATCAGGGCATATTACGGTTTTTCACCGAGGAGGTGGATCTAAGCGATTGCAGTGAAAAATTAGATGGCGAACCTGTATTAGGTTATTTACATAGAGGAATGGAAAAAATAGCTGAAAATAGAACAATTGTGTGCGGCCAGGGAAGGGCTCAAACGTACGAAACATTTGAGCCATGAGGTGCTCGTTTTAGGAAATAAAAAAGAAAAAAAGAAAATTTTTTTTGTTGTATGAATACATACGACACGTAGTGTCTCTCCTTAGGGAGAGACACTACGTGCTCGACCCGAAACCTTCAGGTTTTTCTTTCGTAAATCCGTCTCCTTTCTGAAAGTGCTTACGAACCTTCGGACCCATAGGCACGTAGTGCACGGGGATCGGGTATCGTGTGCGCATTCTAGCCAAAAATATTTTTGACTTTTCTATGCGTTTGATTCTTTTCGGCCCGCTTGGCAGTTTCACCTCTTAAACCCTCCGGATTGGAAGTCTATAAAGCGCTTCGCGGGACTCTATGTCCCGCACAGTGAATGCTCTCTCCCATAGCATTATGTGCCTAAAATAATACATCTTTCTTGCGATGGGGGAAGCAACGAACACCATCGCAAAAACAAACCACTTATTGTGTGTGTTTTTTAATAATTGATTATTGGTCAAATTAGGGTAATTCGCTCAGTTGGTAGAGTGCCTCGTTTACACCGAGAGAGTCAGCGGTTCAAGTCCGTTATTACCCAAGGGTTTCCATTATATGTAATTATGAATTGAATCGAGAATATGGAAAAAGGGGGGGACAAAGTGGTTTCTATGCTATCGGTAACCTAAGCTATAGAGATTACAATATGGAGGAGAAACGGCCCATAAAGGATAATAAAAGAATTCTATTACTCAAACTTGCCCAGGGAGTGCTAAAAACATGCAAAACAAAAAAAATATTTTTTCTGTTCGCGTAGCATCGGGCTCCCCTAGGGACTAGATTAATGATACATATTTGAGAAACCCAATGGTGACCAGCCCCCCAATTTTGCTGTAGTGAATCAATCCATTTATAAAAATTTATCAATTTAAACTTACAAACCCTTACATCGCTAGTTTAGTTACGGGGTGGAGGAGTTTTAGGTTCCATTTTTTACGGGATTTCAATTCATAGGGATTTAGTCGTGTCGGCTACGTCTACGGATTTATTTTGATGTTATCTTTGGATGAGGTTTTTACTGTTATTGAGGGGTCTTTAATAAATCTTTCTAAAAAGTCTGTTTTGGATTTTGAGGATTGACGAGACACTCAACCAAAGGGAGAGAGCTTTAGATCTCTCCCCCAGGGGAGAGGTTCAATCTAGTTACTTAGAAGAGAAAGGTAGTACTTCTAAGTTATATTCTTGGAAAACTCGAGGACATTTAGTAGTCCCTGAGATTCTTACTTTTTTCACTTCACAAATAGGTTTGACATTTTCTATGTCGTTAACCAAAAGTTTTATTACATCGCCGTGAGGAGCTAGACGATGAAATGTTTCATAAACAATAGCATGAGATCTCGTTTTTTTACCATCAATCATGCAAATGTGAACCAATTTTTTTATTAATTGTTTTTGTTTACCATTCAAGCCCCGGATATAGCCCAAATTGTCTGAGCAATTGTATGTGCTTGCCCTACGGCCCCTAGGTCTTGATGGCAAAAGCCCTTCCAGGGCATAGCATAAATATCTAAGGTGGGATAAGCTAAGCGCATAAAAGCTTTCTGTTTCGCGACAAATTCTATTTTTTTCGTTTCCACCTTCTCTGAAAGTCTTGATGAGTGAAACCAATCAAGGTATGAACTAAAAACACAGTTGAAATTCGATTTTCCAAATAAATTCATATATAATCTTTGGGTTTTTTTTACCATATTTAGATATGCCTTGACGTCGACCCGGTATTCCTTGAAGATCTTTAACTCCTCGAATACAATGGTATTTTACGCTTGGCAAATCTTGCACTCTACCTCCTCTAACCATAACCACATAATGCTCTTGCAAATTATGACCTTCACCGGGAATGTAAGCAATTATTTCATTTCGATTGGTTAAACGTACTTTAGCTATCTTGCGTAAAGCTGAATTAGGTTTTTTCGGCGATCTTGTCGAAACACGCAGGCAAACCCCCTGCTTTTGCGGATATTTATTTAAAGCTCGAGTACGCTTTGTGCGTCGTTTTGACTCTCTACATTTACGAACAAGCTGATTCATTGTTGGCATATTTTACTATGAACAAAATCATACAACTCTCAATTACATTATCGTAGAGTATGGTAATAACTTTATATTTTGTAGAAATATAAAGTCAAGTATAGAAAGTATGCTTTAACTGGCCTAAGCTCTAAGTAGGAAAATCAAATCAACCTTTTATAGATTATGGAATGGCAAAAGTTATCCAAGCAGATATCCCATGTGATGAGGCTTACGTTCGGTTTTATATGGCCCTTAGTGCTCAGGTTGATTAACACAGGTTGCCTAGGCATGTACTTCCTCTTTGTCATTTGAGCCGTATGCGGGGAAACTTGCACGTGCGGTTCTTAGGGGGGGAAAGACATCAAAGTCCTACCTATCCAACTAATCAGGATTTTATATAGATGGTACTCCGCGAAATCTTTGTATATGATATTGATCGCTTTATCAATACAACATACAGTATATTGGATTGTGTATTTACGCTAAGAAACATCATAGATCTCTTTTTACCGTAGCCCAAATGAGATGGAAATTTATATATATGGCCAGCAAAAAAATATTTTTTTTGCCTATCGAAAGAGGGATTTGAACCCCAGTGTGCGAATTATGATCCCGCTGTTCTATCCTACTAAACTATTCCGACATGCTGATTATGATCCCGTTGTTATAATAATCTACCGCTTCCTAGTTGTTGGGTTAGAATTCGCCCTGTGCTTGTTCCTGATATTTTATAAAACAAAGGCGCATTAGCATTTGAGTTGGTTAATACGTTGTAATTAGAAAAGTCAGAAGAAATTTAGCAAAACAAAATACCAAAGAAAGACATAGTGAACAAAAAAAAATAAAGTGAAACAACCACAAGGCGCAGCTGCATTTCGATCTTACTCTCCAGTCAACCTATAACTGAGCATCTATTGGCCGGGTGCCTAGTGGTGTGTAAGAACATCAACCAAGGATTTTTCTCCGGGTCTTTGATGCTCTTCACCAAGAATTGTTTTCCCATAACCCTCAGTTCAGTAGGTGTAGGGACGCAGAAAGTTACAGGTTCAAATCCTATCACCTTGAATCAAAATCGGAGTCAATTAAAAAGATGAAAATAAATCGACCGTTATCACCTCATCTTACCATCTATAAGCCACAAAAACTAACAAATATTCAAGTTCCTAAAAGAGCGAGTTATATACGAATCATTATGCTGGAATTAAGTTGTATTGCATCCCATTTGCTATGGCTTGGACCTTTTATGGCTAATATTGATGCACAAACTCCTTTTTTTATATTTTTAGAGAAAGAGAAATGATTTATGATTTATTTGAATCTGCTACTGGAATGCGAATGATGCATAATTATTTTTGAATTGGAGGAGTTGCAGTAGATTTACCTTATGGTTGGATAGACAAATGTTTAGATTTTTGTGATTATTTTTTACCTAAAATAAATGAATATTAAAGACTTATTATAAATAATCCTATTTTTTTAGAACGAGTAAAAGGGATAGGTACTGTTACTAGAGAAGAAGCTATTAATTGGGGATTATCATGTATCCACACCGTTGTGGGACATGGACGATATCTATGGGGCCACCAAGGGTCCCATACGATATTCGGGTACAGTTGGCACAATTGAGTTGGATGACTTCATCCAGGAGTTTGACTCATGGTGTGATTTACAACAGATGCGTAACTCTACGTTATTCAGTCCGTTTATGGCTTGGAAGGGATTATTCCAGCATTTGGAGGATCCGCCGATGGATGATTATCATGAATTTCGGCGTGAACACCTTGAGGAGATAGAGTTTTGAAGACAATAGTGGTCTCCAAACTACATCTATATTACTTCTAGTACTGTGTTTGGAGGTGCGAGTTCATCCTCTGTACTTGGCACTGATGATACGGTTGGAGTTAGTAGGGTTGGGAAGAGTTCAGAGGTCCCAACCTTCAACCCTATTCTGGAGTTCTTCGCACGGTTGAGGAGAGACTACCAAGGGGTGAGAACTGACAAGGTACAAGGCTTGCAACGTTTCAACGGAAGACTGGGGAGAATCTTCGAGAGGCGTATACCCGAAGTCAGTGTTACCCATGGGGTGACAGAGGCACAAGCTATCCAATATTGGTATGGGATATTGGATTGGGAGTTGAGACGTAGAGTGAGAGATGCTACCTTACTACACGAGACATTACCTACGTTGGCCATTGTGTTTTGTCTTGCTGAGCGTATTGAGCTCAACATGCAAGAAGAGAGGGTGGTGACTGCTAGGTTCATCAAGGATTCACCATCTTCATCAACATCTTCACGTTACCAGTCTACAACACAAACCCGGAGTGGTTATGGTAGACATGTAGGACAGCCTCGACCATCTGGACAGAGTGGTGAAGATGCGGCATCCAGACCATCGCCATCCTTTTCAGATCAACAATCAGTTGTTGGGATGGTATGTTGGACATGTGGTGGACCTCATCACAAGAAGGATTGGTTTCAAGGTCGAAGGATGGATCCTGTTGGAGCAAAATCATGTGAGCATTGTCACATATATGGTCACATGAT